ATATATAATATTATTATAGAATTACCAATAAGTTTTCATATTACCCGTTTTTTCCCCTTCATAACAATATTTTAAAAAAGACAAAACTATTCTTTTTAGTTTTTCAATAACTAAAGAATTCAATTTGAACCAAAATTATTATATTTTTTATTTTAAAAAAAACCAAAATTTTTATATATTCAGCATTTCAAGAATTGAAATTGTTTCCGGTACTTCAAGTACCGAAAACCCCCCTCTTCCTCCTCCCACCAGAAACCCCTATTTCATGTGCTTGTATCCCTCTTTTTTTGGATAAATCAGTAGAGAGAAGGCTCCCTATATGCTTTTCATTAATAAAAATAAAAACGTATTACAACTCATTATTTTACAATCCTACTAGGACAATTATACAAACATCATTAACTAAAGGAAGAGAATTAAAATCTGGAGGCCTAGAGCCCCTAATAGTGGTATTTGAAAAAAATTGTGACCTTTTTTAGCAAATAAGTTTGTCGAGATATTTGCTTTATGATAAATATGACAAATCAACCATGAATGATTTGCAAGTCTAAATCGACAATTGGAGGCAATAATATGAAGCACATATGGAGATCTACAGTGCCTACATAAGACTTGAACTAGGAGGGATGAATCACTTTCGATAAAGCCAACTATTAGATATCAATGGACCACAAAAAAAAATAGGGATTGTATAAAATGAGATCAATTACCTTTGATACAACTATCTAATATGAAATATGATAGATTGGGTATCTTATAAAATTCAAAAAAAAATTCTTTTGAAGTTTGAGCTTGATTAATAGAATAAATGCAATCATCGAATTTTACATTACTTACTATAACATTCTACCAAAGATAAATAAACTCATTATATACTTTTTCAAAAAAATTATAATGTTAGTACTATCCATTTAAATGACTGCGGTGAGAATAGGGTTTGGAAAAGTATGGTGTTAAATCGTACAATGAAATGATCGACAATGATAGAAGTTGGAACCCCCCAAAATATGACGAATCTCAAGAAGCATTTCACCATTGTATTCATGACAATATGGTTTTTCAAAGTCTATTCGATTACGGTTTCTGGTGGGAGGAAGAAGATGGAGATTTTCAGTACTTGAAGCATTGAACACAATTTCGATTTTTCGGTTTTTGAAATAGTAAATATGTAGGAATTTTAATTTTTAAAAATCGAAAATATAATAATTTGGTTTCTTCAATATCTGAAAATTTGAATTTTTTAATTATTGAAAAATTGAAAATGATAGTTTCATCAGTTTTCTAAAATATTGTTATGAAGAGGAGAAAATGGGAATCCATGTAATAAAGAAAATTTTCTCGCATTTATGTAATAACGAAAAAATGGATATATATATATATATATAACTTTCTCAAAAAAATATAAACTTATGATTATTATTAGTATTTTAATTTCTACACTGTATAAGCCCTGTGAGTGTTTTTTACAAGTTGGTGAGTTAGTGCACTCTTGCACCGAGGGACTCATGAACGACTTTTCCTTAATATATAGTAAAGCCAATTCCCAAAACCCTATCAGAAAATGCAATTTCGGCATTTGTGAAATAGCTTGCAAATTGATTTGTGCTATTGTCTATGAAATTTTGAAGATAAAAAATGGTGCAAATATGAATGATATGAGGCACTTCAAATGAATTATTTAAGATCATTTTTAGAGCTTGATCTCTCTTTTTTTAATTTATATTTGTCCAGATGATCGATATGTATTTTTTCTCACTACAAAAGTATATTTTATTGCAATATTCGAGATGCGGCCTTATAGAACGTCTGGCTACAAAATATTTTCCTTATAGAACGTCAGGCTACAAAATACCTTCCCATTTTTAGGATAGGAAAAAGTTTATATAAGGGTGTAACCTTAAAATATAGAATTTCAAATGCACCTAAAAAATCCATGAGAAAGGTTGTTTTAATGCTGAAAAACCCTTTAATTGATCATCTCGACATAGAAATGTATTAATATGAAGAAAAAGAAAAGATTTTGAATCCCAAAAATAGTACATCTTGCAACACATTATCTAGACCGTCCATTTTCAAGATTTATAGGTCTACTTGGTTTTAACCATTTTTGGACTTTAAAATTTTATAATTAGACATAAAAATAGATTTTCAGATAATCCTAAGAATTTTTTACAACCAAATTACATGCTATGGTGAAATTTGAAGGTACGCTTTAATTGGATTGTTTAAGGCTGCAACCTTATAAAAACCACACCATTTAGAATATGATGGTTTATATTGAGGGTGAGGTTTGTATAAAGTGTCGACCTTATATTATTGAAGTAATGTGCACCTCAAAACTATGCCGAAAATGCAATTTTGGTGCCACAAAACCTTGCGATGATATGAAAATCTATTGATGTTTTTAATTATGAAAATTAAAATTAAAAAAAATGTGACGATCAAGCAAATCTATAAACACTTTAAAATGGATGGTTCTAATAATGTGTTAGAAGATGAATTATTTTTAGGACTAGAAAATCCCATTTTTTCAACTCTATGAATATCTGAGTTGAGATGATCGATTTGAGTGTTTTCTAGCATAGAAACGACCTTTTCTAATGGGTTTCTTAGGTGCACCTCTTTAAAATTTATGATAATTATGAGTGAGAGTAACCTCCTTATACCAAAACACAGCCTTAAACATAAAATCCCAAACTTGCACCAATTAAGGTAGCATTTCTCTCTCTTAACCACGAAAAATTGCCCTAATGACCTTCAAATTTACTAATAATATTAACTTATTTCTCCCCCACATGGGATTAGGATAGTCCGGATTATCTGGTCACTCAGATGAAAGACTGGCCCCTTCCAGTAATTTCCTAAAGAACAGAAAATATGGAAAACGTGAATTAGAATCAGAATGTATCCCCTGTGCTTGACATTTTCATCAAAGAACTCAGTGCAGTCAGACTTAAAAATTAGACCCCACAATTTAACCCAATAAGGCATGTAAAATTACCTCTAAAATTTACTCTTCATATATTTTCAAAAATGTTATTGTTTTAGGGCTTACCCCTTCATTTTGTGGGGTTTTTTATTTTTGAATTAGGCCTTTTGGGGCCAGAGTTTCCTGGATTAGGAATAAGAAGATTCATGTCTGTGGTTCTTACAATAAGGCTTTTAATCAGTGTATAATGTTAGAAATATTCCTATTAGAGTTTTTTTGAAACTGGGTGTGGAGAATTAGGATTAATAGTATTAGAGGTTTTTAGAAATTGGTTCTTCCAAATTAGGGCTCATATGGGTGGTGAGTTTTGTGATTTGGTTATTTAGTGTTACTGATCTTTTAATTGGCAATTTTTGAGGATGTAGGTTGCTTGAAATTTGGGTTTTTTAGGACTTAGGTCTTTGAAACTGGGGCTCTTAGGCGTACTTTTTCTTCTTGTTGAAGTGAGCTGTTATGGATAATAATGGTCAGATTAGGGAGATTAGGGACTCTATGTTAATATATTCATAATCAATTTCTTTTATGGAAGATACTCATAACTGATTTTTTTTAAAAAAAAAATTAAAGTATCTTTATTTGTGATTTCCTTTGTTTATTTTTTGGAAATCCTTCAGATTTAGGTTTTCCAAATGATATGGGTTTTGTTTTCTTTGGAGGAAGTCGTTTAAGAATTAAGAGTAGGGTATCAATCCGACAGTCATAAGCCTTGTTAACCCTCTTTTAAGGAATAATTAGACCATTGAATTAGTGTTGCTCTCTAGATTTTAGAAAAAATTGCTATTTTCTGCAGCTAATTAGGCATTATTAAAACCTGTATGAATTTCACAAGCAACTGCTTTGGACAAGAAAGTACAGTATAGGGCTATTTGTCTTCTGTGCAAAAAGGTCACGATCAGTTAATGAATGTGAAAGCGAAAATTCAAAGTGTACCATTAATTGCCCTTAAAATCCTGAAATATTTCCCTCTGACTTTGAATGGAGAAATAATACAACAGAGCTATCGAATTTTACATCTATTGGGTTGGGCACTTGCTGGCCCTATGTGTCCTTTTTAGAATTAGAAGCAATCTCTTATTTGTCTTTAATGTTGATGTCTGTGTGTGTTTTTGGGTCTACCTAAGCGGGAAACAGTCACCTCATGTTTACCCAGGCCCCATGACTGCTATGTGTTTTGCATCTTTTCTAGAGTGAGAAATGACCTATTCATTCTGAGTATGGGACCACTGCTTGAGTTGTGTGTGTGTGTGTGTTCGTGTGTTCTGTTGTGAGAGAACATTTTCGTTTCGTGCTAGTATGAAGATGTGGCTGCACGAGCGTATGCTTGCTTGTGCTCATCTCCTTTTTGGAGTGAAAAATTTCCTAGTCATGCATCACCATGCCTGGTGTGTGTGTGAGAGAGAGATGGTTGTTTTTCATCTTCATTTTGTTTTTCCTATGAATGGGTCTCGCTGCAGAATACATAAGTTGAGATGGATTTAAAAACATTCTGTACTCCGAACTGTTCTGTCGTTCTGCTCTTATAGATTGATTTATCTCTAACTTCAGACACATGAGGTCACTGTAATCAACCTGATAATTTTGAATCTGACCGTACCTTTCTGTTTCAGCACCTAACCATAGTTTCGAAACCGATCATGGAGGATATTACCATGACCACAGACAAAGAGACACAAGAAAGAGAAATCAAGGATGAAAAAGGTAAGCTTAAAAGCCTCCCTTCCATTGAGATCAAGGTCCTATTTTTTGCTAGGGCCCGAGACCTAACTGGCTTTACCAACACAGTTGTGTCGGTCAAGCCCGGGTGCACCACCCTCGACTGTGTAGCCGAGCTCTTCTCCAAGTTCCCAAGCTTGAGAGAGATAAAGGATTCTATGGCTTTGGCTCTCAATAAGGAATATGCACCAGGGAATACCATTTTGAATAATGGAGATGAATTGGCCATCATTCCACCTATAAGTGGAGGCTAAGTGTAATGTGGTTGGAAATGTGGTCTTCCTATTCATAATTTGGTGGAAAGTGAGCCTTCTTTTGAAAAATTGGCTAGAAAATTCACCTCTTTTCTGGAAAAGATGAGGATTTCATTTAAGAGGTTGGCAGTTGGGTGAGGGTTGATATTTGGTTAATAGAGATTTGAAATAAAAAAAAAAACATACACAAGACAATGGGATTGTTTTCTTTTTCCTTTTTCTTTCTTTTTGTTTTTTTTTGTGGGGTGGGGGTAGGTTGGTGGATTGTGGGGCTGGCAATGGGTAGGGGTAGGTTGGTGGATTGTGGGGGTGGGGCCTCAGCCGGGCCACCCATGGTTTTATCGTGGCCCTAGTCCTCATAGGGTTGGTTGAAGCCTAGCCCGACTTTGACCTGACCAAATAAAATTAAAGAAAAATAAAGGAAAAGTATAGAGGAAAAAAAGGTCGGGCTAGGCCTGCCCTGGCCCAATCCTGTCCCAAGCCTACACTCAGGCTACATTTAATGGCATAGGTTCTAGTTTTCTTGGGCTGGGCAGGGCCTGGCCCACCCGTTGCCTCCCCTAGTTATTAGTAAAAGTTCTCTCTTGTTCAGAATGTATGTTTGTATGAGAGAGATAGGTTCGGTGTGTTCAGTGTAATTGAGAGAGAGAGGGGTTTGGTGTGCTGTGAATTTACATTATTGGTATACTAATGGATTAGAGAGTCGGAAACTTGTACCCCTAAAACTGTGTGTTGCATCTCAATAAAGGAAGGGCATGTTTTCTATGCTTCTCCTTCAGCATAAAACCTATGTACAACCCTTTATCTAACCATCCATTCTGAATGGAGAGTTAAGGTCTCAATCACAATGTCATATCTCTATATTATTTTATTTTTATTTTTTTATATAAAATATTTTAAAACCAAATTTTGGGTGTCCAATCCTCTATTAAATCTGTATATGTTAAAAATATACCAAAAAAATATTCTTAATAAAATAAAATGATCAAAATACCGTTAACCGTTTCAAGGGGTATTTTGATTATTATATTTTATCAAAATTTATTTTTAATATTTTTTTGTAGGTGCACCCCACTACACAAGTCTGGCATATGTGTTTCATGTATATATGTGTTTAGTTGTATTAGTTTTTAAGGTCACTACATTAGACACCTGCAACACTCACAAACCTGTGTGAGTGTGAGTGGTTGTGCCATTGATAAAGAAAAAAGTTTTTAAATTTGTCAAGTATCTGACACAGCTGTTGCACATTAAAAATTATTTTTAATATCCACTACACAAGTCTGGCATATGTGTTTCATGTATATATGTGTTTAGTTGTATTAGTTTTTAAGGTCACTACATTAGACACCTGCAACACTCACAAACCTGTGTGAGTGTGAGTGGTTGTGCCATTGATAAAGAAAAAAGTTTTTAAATTTGTCAAGCATCTGACACAGCTGTTGCACATTGTATGCTATGTGCCAAAACGATAGATGCAGATGTTCATGTTACATAGGTCTTAACCTTTCAAAATGTAGCTTATATTTGGATTTTAGTGTGAAATGCTAGTAATTTATAGTAATTGAGAGAGAGGTTTAAATGAAAGTTAAAAGACTTGGAGAATTTATAAACCAGGTTTTTCCAAGCACTGAGATCAGAAGACTCTCATAGAGAAACAAGAACAACAGAAAAGCCACCATTGCTTGGGAACCACCAAGTCTTTATTATTTTAAACCATGTCTCTTTAACCCTTTCTTGGAGGAGGCCTCAGTCTATGACAAATTGGCTTGAAGATTCTTTTGCCCAACTCTTTTTGTTTCTTTCTCATCATCCAGTACCTCTCCACTTCTGCTGCTTGTCTATTTGGGAGCCTTCCAGATATTAAACTCCACCTGGAGAGAGAGAGAGATAAGAATTCAAGAGTTGATGCATTGTAAGCATGACTTGTTTAATACCAAACTTTCCTTTTATTTTTCACATTCAAGGTATTCTCCATGAATAAAGAAAAACTAGAAATTGAAGTGGAATTGAAATGTAGCTCTCCTAAAAGATGGAACACCAGAGAGAGAAGCACAGCAAGGACATTTTCCATTAAAAAAAAAAAAAATTATATAAGGTTGACACTTTAAAATGTAGAATTAAGGTACAAGGAAAGGTTGTATTGATGTTGGGAAAACATCAAAATGATCATTTCGACATCGCGATATGTGGATATGGAGAAAAAAAAAAGATTTCAAGTCGTAAAAATAGTACGTCTTGTAACACATTATCAAGACCGCCTATTTTGAAGATCTTCATGCGTTTATAGATCTACTTGATTTGAACCATTTTTTAGATTTAAAATTTTGTAATTAGAGATAAAAATAGATTCTCACAATATCCTAAAATTTTCGACACGAAAATTGAATCTCGTGACAAAGTTTGGAGGTGCACCTTAAATTAATTGTTTAAGGTTGCAACCTTATGCAAACAACACCCAGTAAAAATAATAATAATATAGAAACTGAATTGAACTTGCAGTGTAGCTCTCTCTTAGATGATGGAGCACCATATCCATATATATATATATATATATATATATGGAAAGGTTTCTATACTTCTCTTACATCATAGAAGATCTATGCTTCCCCTACCATCCAGCCATCCAATTTTGATGAAGAGAGCCACTCGCTGTTTGATCTTAGATCCGACATCTCAATGTATTTTATTTTTAGTTTTTTTTATACAAATCATATGAATATAAAATTTGGAGCATAAACTCTTCTCATAAAGGTGCACGTAAAAAAATATTAAAAAATAATTTACATAAAATAAATTAACTTAAATACCTCCAAAAAATTTTGGGCGTATTTTGGTGAATTTAATTTATGTGAATTATTTTTTTGATATTTTTATTAGATTCAACTATTCTTGAATAATAAACGCTCCAAATTTCAAATAATTTAGATTTGTAGAAAAAAAATTAAAATCCAATTACTAGAATACAATTGTGATCATTGGATCAGTCCAGATTCAATCTGGGCCGTTGGGCTTACACTGTTCCATGAGCCCATGGGCTGAAGGGAGCTTTTATATATATATATATATATATATATATATATATATATA